ACCTATTATTTTTTAATTTGAAAAATGTAACTTTGTTTGAAAAATTATTCTTATTTTTTGTCAAGTTATTAATTTATTTTAAATGTATCAAATTAAACTTAATTTATATTGATTTCTTTTTATAACTTCCCTCGCCTAGATTAAGGCAAATCTAAGGTGTGTGTTGTAAACCATTGCATTTTTATATAACTTTTAAAAGAATGTCTTGGTAAAATTCAAACGTCTCTAGGACGTCTGAAAAAGACGTCTTTAAGTCTTTCATATGAGACAAACCAGAGACGTCTCTAAAACGTGCGCAAAAAACGTCTCTAGGACGTCTTGAAAAGACGTCTTAAGGACGTCTGGAATAGACGTCCTCAAGCCTTTCATTTGAGACTAACTAAGGATGTCTTACGGACGAGACCTAAGACGTCTTACGGACGTCCTTAAGACGTCAAAATGCCCGCTGGGTACATACATATATACCATCTTATTTATGCTGATGATATTGTTATGCGCATTTTTATAGTATATATATATATATATATATATATATATATATATATATATATATATATATATATATATATATATATATATATATATCCAAGAGTAAGTATATATGATATATATATATATATATATATATATATATATATATATATATATATATATATATATATATATATATATATATATATATATATATATATATATACTCTTGGATAGTAATGATTAAAAAATTAATTTATTCCTTTAGAAACATTTTTTGGCTTTATAAGTTCCCATTTAGTTTTATAATAAATGATATAAGCTGAATAAAATAAAATAATTAACAATATCAACTTCATAACAGACACGTGATAAGGGGTATTTTATAACAAGCACATTGTAAAATCTCTATGCTGCAGCCATGGACTTTTGTTTTCCACCCTTTAATAATTATTTTACAAAAATAAATTTTAATTTAAATATATCAAGTGCTACTTAAAAAAAACAATTTTGATATTTCGAATTTGTTTTTGCCTTCCCAATCCATATTTTTTAATTACATAATCATGCACTGTCTGATTGTCTTATTATTACTGTATGGTATGTACACAGTCCTGTATTACAGGACTGCTGAGTTGTTAGTCCTTAGTCTTGGCCTTTGCCTGGCCTTAAGGCCTAAAATTTAGGCCTTGGCCTTGGTCTTGGTCTTAAAACTGTTGGCCTTGGTCTTGGTCTTGGCCTTGAAAATTTTGGCCTTGGTCTTGATTGTTTTGGCCTTGGCCTTAAAAAATATATATATATTTTCTCATTGATTTCGTTGAATTCTGCTCATAACCTTGGTCTTTTTTTACAAAATGTGGTTCTATTGTTACAGCACTTGCTTCTAATAGTTTTGTTAATAGTTGGCCTTAATGTAAGACAAAAATCGAAGTGTTTGGTCTTGAAAATTTTTACGTAGGTCTTGGCCTTGAAACCCTTATTCTTGGTCTTGGCCTTGTAACGAGTGGCCTTGCTACTTTTTGCCTTGTTAACAACTCTGCAGGACTGTAGCTACAAAATATGAATTGGTGGGCAATAAAGGTTTCTATATGCTCTAATGCAAAACCTTTTTGAGGTTACATTGAACTTTCTCTGAAAAATATTCTCAAAAAACCAAAATATTAAATTATTTTGGTTTTTTGAGAATATTTAAATATTATAATTAAAAACTTAAATAACATTTTGATATGTTTCTCTACTTAAGATTCATTTTAGTCTTAAAAAAATTTATTTTTAAAGTTTTTACCCTTCTTTTTTAACATAACCCTTTATTCTTCTTCTTTAACCTAAGAAATTTATTTTTTCATTTTAGCCTTAGAAAAGTTCAATTTAAAAGTTCAATGTAATATTTTTTGAATAATTAGTTGTCAATTTCTTAAACAAAAAGACAGTACAAGATACACAGTGATATAACTCATTTTGGAGTTAACAAATAGTTTAAACACTAGTAGAATAGAAACTCTACTTTGGTGCAAAAAAGAAGATTGGGATTTATTGAAATGTTTCACAATAAATTTAATCGGTTTTATTATTTAGATCCGTTTGCAAAATTTGAAAAAAATAGAGTTATAAGAAAATGTGTAATCTATAAGAGTGAAGAGTCATAAATCTACAACTTGAAAAAATGAAACTAAGTGTTAAGTAAATACAAACTCTTTAAATATTTCGTTTTGTAGCGTTCTTTAGTTAAATTTGAAAAATTACTCAGCAACCATTAAAAAATTGCCGGCTGCGACTTGCCAATTAAACAAAATCATTGTCTGTTGGCATAGCTATGTTTATAGGCAATGAGAAAAATACTCAATGCAACTAAGGCCTGGTACACGTTTTTCCGAACAAAAATATAAGTTTTTTCAATTAAAATATATGTAAGTTTTTTCATTAAAAAGAATGACATATTTGGTATGTGTGGAAAGATTATTTTACCCATTAATATAATCTGGTAAGTAACGCGACTATAACAAATCGTCAAACGTAGTTTTTTTAGAAAAGATCTAATTTTCAAAATAAAGTACCTTGAGGCTTGGCTATAGATAAGTCTATAAATTTAATTTTTTCATAAAAGCACATATTGGTGCTTGTTTTCAATGAATGCAACTTGAGATTTCTAATCAGACATTATTTGGGAAAATTATTCATGAAAAACCATTTTTTCATGAAAATTGAAGTTACTATTTTCAAATGAGTATGTTTAACAATAAGTTAAACATACTCATAAGTTAAATGAGTATGTTTAACAATAATGTCACGTTAGATTTAGATAACCTATGGTAGTGTTAATTTTTCTACCAAAGTCGTTTTTGCACAAATAATCATAACTTTTAGCCCCATTTAAAAAACTGTTTTCGGTATTTAGTATCTTTTTATGAAATACTCGGGACTTATTTGGCTATCTTGAAATAATAAACTATTCCATTCAGAATGCGTAAACAATAAAAAAACAGAGACGGTAAACTTTTTATATAAATTACTTTCAATTCGAATTTATGCAAACAAAGATGTTTGCATAAATTAAATACCAATAACTAAAGGGTTTTTCGGTTTGCCACTAACAACCAATCGAATTTGTTTTAAATTATCGGCTTTTTTTTTTTACGAGCTTGTCTTAGTTGCATTGAGTAGTACGAAAACTAGTTTACGGAGCTGGCTAAACGGATAAATTTTAACTGAAAAAATTATCGGAACGTTAATAAACGGAGCCTAAACGGAAGGATTAGAACACCATGTGTGTGTATGTGTGTGTGTGTGTGCCTGTGTGTGTGTGTGTAAAATTTTAAGAAGTAATAACATAATATAATTCTGATAAACATTAAATGCAACGTTGAGTCAACGTAAAATACAACAAGTACAAAATATCAACGTAAAATATTACTCTTTGGAAAAATAAAAAAATATATATGTGTGCTATCTAGGGTAATCATGTATTGTCCATGAAGAACATTCGTGCTGCCGGCACTTGATTTGAGCTAGAATATTAGTTAAAAGAACAAGAGGCAATTAACAAGAAAACACAACAACTAGACTAAAAAGACTCAGCGCTGGAACAATGTTTAAAAAAAGTAATCATATTAATTGTGCATTTACTTGCAGAACTTATATTAGAACTTCATGGCACTGTTGCCATGGGATTGACTGTTTCAACGAAACAATGGAAATATTTTAAGATTGGTCGAATTGTTAAGAAATTAAATCAAATAACTCCCAATTTTGCAAATATGCAAAATTGAGAGTAGATCAGTATAAATATTAATAATTATTATTTTGTGGGATTCCTTTCAGTCAATGACAGCACTGATTCAGGTCTCACAAAGCATACTTACAAAAGGTTAAAGATCTAAATTTAAATTTGCAGAAATTCAGAGATCAAGGATTTAATAATATTCAAAAAACATGGACAAAAAGAATGCAATAAAAAGTGAATCCGAGAATAAAAAAATTTCAAAGAAAATAGATTTGCATCTGCTCAAATTTCAATCAGAAAAACGGGTAAGAATTAGAAATGGAAACCGAAGAAATTAAATTTCTAGCTGCTATAAGTCTGAAAAGAATGATAGCGTGCAAAAGCACAGTTCGATTATGAAAGCATAGATGAATCATTGGATTCAAAAGAAAAATATTGAGTTGAATTTTTTAAGGTCTCTTCTTGATGCTTTACGTTTTATTTAGGGTCATGATTAGAAATGTTAAGCCCAAAAAGTATTTTGTATTTTTGTTGTCCAAAAATATGGTTCTTTGAAAATTCCAAATACTAATGCTTGGGTAAAAAAGTATTATTTAAGTTAGTTAAAATCTATTTGAGGACAAATACGCAAGAATCCCTAAATATTTAGGCAATGATATCTATCAAACAATATATTGCCCAGTTTTTGCAGTATTCACGATTAATTCGGTGTGAAAAACTCTGTGTAATCTTAAAGATTTTTTTCAATTTGGGTCACCAAGTTCACTTAGCCTAGATCCTCCAATTACCGAAAGCTCTAATAAGAATTGTATAGAATTTACAAGTGCTTTATTTTTATTTCTATTTTTTTTCTTTCTAAATTGAAGATTTCAACATCAACAAAAAAATCTGGTCTTTTAAATTATTTTACAAAGCAATTTATAACACATCTACTGTATCACATCTCTCTATCAGCTGTATTCACATCTCTCTATTAAACCCTGCGATAAGCCATTGGCTGGTTTAAAGGTAAAACTCGTATGCCTATAATAATATATAAATATATTATTATAGACATACATACACATATATATATATATATATATATATATATATATATATATATATATATATATATATATATATATATATATATATATATATATATATATATATGTATATATATATATATATATATATATATATAATATATATATATATATATACATATATATATATATATATATATATATATATATATATATATATAGGGTTGCTATATAGAAATTACTAAAAATAAGGAGATTTTACAATGTATGATAAATGAAAG